GTTTTTGCAAAAAAGTTCAATGTTATAAAAGTTTAAATATAATCTTTGCCATGATCTTATTCTTAACGCTTAATATTAACCAGTTCTACAAGAATTGAGAATGATGAAATGAATTGATTTGAGTCAATCATATGACGCAATCCATTGAATCGACTTAACTGTATGTAGGACATTCCCTTTTACAGGCCAAAAATAAGACGTATTCGCATAAAATCAATTTATTTCATAACGGTATTACATGCAATAGAATTGATAAATGTAATTAAATAACAATCCATCATGGTAACTAGAGCTGTGATTATTAAATACAATTTGTGATAATTTTTATCTTGTTTGAGTCCATGTCTAATCACTAGTTTTTGTTTCAACTGGTCAAGAACATATCGTACACGAATACTATGTTTTCTGTGCTTTATAGACATTACTAGGGTATGACATTTTTAAATACACTGATATAATGCTGACTTTTGGCTGCAAGCACCCTCGCGGTGAGTAGAGTTCAGTTCGATTCCCGGCAGAACCATTTTGGACATGAACTTTTTATAAATTACTTCTGGTTTGGGGTGTTCTGATATTCATAGAGCTGGGAATTTTTCTTAATTGAGAACAGGTAATCAGTGCGGTAACGGCTTTTGGGAAAATGGATTTGGATTATGTTTTATGGATAAGCCACAGGCTTTGAAGTTCATTTTTCAAATCTTTGCTAAATAACTTATTGGTATATTATGTTCTATCAAATTTTATTTGAAACTTACCACAATATTTTTGCTGAAACGCTGACAGGTGCTTGATGATACCAGGCTCATTAGTTTCAAGTAAGTTTTAGCAACCAATAATATTTAACACTTTAGACCGATTGGTCTCTCATCTACGTTAATCAACGTAGAGATGTCAAAGCAACTAAATCCTATTGGTTATTGACACTCGGCACTTCTCTACTAGGCTTTGGTAGGCAATAGTCCGAGATGCATGCATTCCAGCCACATACGAAATTATTGCTATATCTTCTAAAACTGTATTCCAATCGGCATCTCTTTTACAAGTAGCTTTATTATTAATTACTATAATAAAGGCACATTTTTTATGATACGGTGGGACAGGATGAACAAGTCGTATGACTGGTAGTAAGCAACACGCTTATCCATAACAGTTGTAATGTCACTCAGGGCTTTAAACCGCAAAGACCACCGTCCAGTCCTGTCACCCTAAGATATAAGTTGACAACTTTAATGTGGCTGTAATTTCACCAGCACTCTTGCCCTTCAAAAGCGGAACTAAATAATGTGAGCATTATTGCTTGGCGGCAAAAATGGGTGGCAGTACTTCCCTGGACGAACTTTTTTCAAAGGAGCTCTACTGCTACTAACATATGAAATGTACAAAATGTTGAGAATCTTTTTATTTTTCGAATTCAAAAATTTAAGTTAAAAAAAGTTAGGGGAAAGGTGTACGAGATGATCGTTGGAGGTAAGATGATCCTTTTCAATTGTAGTGAAACTAGTAACGTCATCTAGATATTTTCTTCAGTAAAATGTAGGCCTCATTGTGCCCTCTCATCAGTCAATTCGTAATAGCGATGTGAGTGACGAGTTTGATCTAAGGTAAAGTTGATTAAAAGCTTAGGCAACTTCCATTCTAAGCAATCAATTGCTACGATTTTTGTGTTGGTGGCTTTGTATAATGCTCTATTTACTTTTTTAATGGCGTGTTAACAGCAGACAGCATACAGGTTATTTTGCCGAACAAAAAATAAAAATAAGTAAATTGGGGCAAGATGATTATGGTTTTGGTGTACGAGATGATCCGTGGGGATCATCTTGTACTGTGTATATTGTTAATGGACTATATTTAATTTGTATGTTTTTCTGAGTACTGAAACCTCTTAATTAAATAGCTTGCAATACGAATAAAATAGTAGAAGACTGGATTTCGTTTACATGATCGGTCTCGATTAATAACAAATATAAATGCTTTTTCTTCTTTTAGACCAGGCCGCGTAATTGTAAAAGACAAAACCATTCGTGGTGGGTGATCGGAAGACTATGATCTAAAGAACTAGAGGCGTATAAAGTAGGACGCCACATAGATCGGCAAGTAAATAGTTAGCAGTAGGTACGCGTTATGTCATTAAAAAGACGGGCTAAAGGTGAAAATAAAGGGTCTGTCAGTTCAATGAAATATTTAGGTGAAAAAAAAACTGTTTTCATCAGATGTGTTAAACAGGAAATCGAGCTCGTAAAGTGCATTAAAGAAATGGAAATGTGGATGGATATCAACTTGCCATAAAAAACAATATCGCCCATCCTTAGGTACCTGTAAGATATAAACTAATTAGGATTATTTGTTCTCGAAGTTCCGTAACTGTTGTTTCATATATCTAGATTATATAAGTGAGGACTTTGTTAAGTCTAAAAAGTTGTTGTTTTCATTTGTTTCTACCAAAACCAAGAAATTTTCCTAAATAGAGATTTGCCCATACGCTTAGAATCATCTTGAACATCCCGGTGTCCAAGACGATCCTTTAGTACGGTTTTAAAAATATTCAAATATAATAATGAAAGATCAAAAAATAAAACGTTTTTAGTAAGACATGTATTTACTATTAAATCTATTTAGATAAATTTTCCATCATTCAACGCTTTTACATCTGTTTTAAGCTGAATATCTTTTAAACTACCACCATTCTCCCTTAAGGGGATCTTCTGGTACACCTTTCCCCTACTTGTTAACGTATTCACCAGAAATATAGTGTCTTCTTTTTGTTGCATCCTGTTTATTTGTCCATGAACAAGTACAACGATGTCAGTAACTAAAAGTTTCTTAATAATTTTAAAACAAATCGTTCATTATAGGTTCCTTTAATCTAATTATAATAGTAGGATTAATAAACAATTGATCAAGCTTACATAAATCACTACTCAAGACACTAATGCGCGTCGTGATCGAATATGTGCTGTAATTTTTAGGTAGTTCTTCAACAATCTAAAACACAGTCGCAATAAAATTGTAGCTTCTTGTACAATTTTTCTATATGAGTTCTAAAATATCGAATCACTCAATTATTCATTCATTCAAAGTTTTATCCAGTAAAACACATATCGGTGATACATATGACGTACAAAGTAATATTTACTTCAGTTAATTAAAAACTTGTAATCAATTAATTTTTGTCTATAATGTCGAAGTTGTTCAGGATCATATCGAGGATGTTATGCTCGATTATTTCAGAATTCGATATTTTACAATTCGTATTTTATATGTCATCATCATCACCATCAAGCAGTCTCTACTCCATCCGTCTTCGGATATAGGCCTCCATATCTCTCCATTTACGTCGCTCCCGTGTCACATGCATCCAGTTGCGGCTCGAAAATTTTAATGTCATCCACCCAACGAAGTGGCGGACGACCTCAGCCGCGCGTGTTGGCCCATGGTCGCCACTCCATGATCCTCCTTGTCCACTGATCTGAATCCATCCTAGCTATGTGTCTTGCCCATTTCCATTTCATCGTCTCAATTCTGCGTACAAGGTCCCCGATTTTAGTTATCCATCGATTATTCGGTATCCGATCGAGCAGTGTCATTCCTAATATTGTTCTTTCCATTGCCTTCTGTGCGATTCGTAAGTTTTCTGCATCATCATCATCAACCTATTGTAAACCACTGCTGAACATAGACATTCCCCGATATGTGCCATTTTACCCAGTCTTTCGCAGATCGTCACTTCATTCCATTTTGTAAGTACAAAGTGAAATTAAAATTTGTAAGTAAATAGACATACATAGCTTATGAAGATTTAAAAGCGTTATATATTTTTGAGTATTAAGAAATGTTGTCCATTTTTTTATGATACGAAGCAACGGGATGAACAAGTCGCCTGTCCGTAACAGTTACAGTGCCACTCAGACCTTTAAATCGCAAAGATCTGAGAGGCATTGCCACTGCACCCGTCACCCTGAGGTATAAATTGACAAATCCCATGGACCTGTAATTTCACCTATATTTTGAATAAATATACGTAGAGGAGCCCCGTGCCCAACAGTCGAATGCACATGGATGGACAAAGTTATTGGATCCAGGTCTGTAAAGTAAAATTTAAATATTTTTATCAAGTGAGTGATTCAAATGACTGAGTGAAATCAAGCTGTGAATGATGACGATGATGAGTGATTCAAAAATCACTCACAGCCAAATTATGATTATGATTGATGTAGTTCAACGGCATTGCAATGATACAATTTTAGAGGGGAATGTGGGGGTATAATAATAGCATTATCATCGGTCTTATGCCTTAGTGGTGGGAGTGCCAACCGATCATCTGTCGAACTTCATGAGAGAGGAGTTTTGACCGAAGGGTATCGTATACTGGGGATTCCGAGGCCGGTTACCTGACACCAGATTGCGTGACATGTTAATATCATGATATGCATATATTTTTATACAGCATTGTATGTCTTAACAGAGGACATTGAATATATTCAGGGATGCCCATCCATCTGACTGAAATAGCACAGCGCCAACAACTAACCTGTGTGTACGCCTCCGTATATCCCAAAAATATTCTGCATTTATTGTAATAAAGATAATATCTCTAACAATGGGGGCTGTTTTATTCGGTGGTGTGGGAAAAACTGCAAAATATCTAATTACAAAACAAACGGAATCACATTTCATCGGTGATTAATATTAAATATGTAATTTTTCAGTTCTCGTCCATTATAGCAAAGCTCAAGTTAAAGTGGACGATTTAAGTGAAACAATTGTTTTGAATTCGGGTTGGACAATTGTCACCGTAAGCGCAGTTGTCACCGTAACGATTTGGCAGAATAGTTATCAAACAAATTAAATAACATTTCGTGTCTATTTCTGGTTAAATACTCGATGACAGAGTATCATCATCATACCTGCTCTATAGCACGTAATACCTGTACTATACTATATAATATAATCCAAAAAATATTTAGTGTGCAACCATATTGAGTTATTTCGTTTGTCTACAGGTGTATCAGCTAGTGAAGCCTTGCGGAGCGGGCTCTGCCAGTCGCTGTGGGGCGCTTCCGCCAGTCGCGCAGAGCCTCTACTGGCTTCGCCACCTCCTCAAAACCATGACTCCTATCTTGTCAGGGGTAAGACTACCGATCAAATTATATTGCATGAAAGCGTATCGAGTCGCCATTTTTGAAAAAATACTGGCATTGTTGCTCAAGATAATCACAAAAAGTTCAAAAATTATTATAATATTTCTATCGCTCCTACTTACTATTTCAAAAATACATACGTTCTTCCATTTCCGTGATTGTGGTAATTAATTTACACACTGGCAGATTTAACGGAACAATAAAAATAGTGACATTTATATTGAAATAAATGATAATTAGGCGAGAGTAGCAATTAAATGAACACCTTCTACACATCGGCTTAGTTCAACATAGTTTATTGAAAAATAATTAATTTAAACAAAATACTTTTTTTTAGATTCTGTGAGAAAGCTGAAAATTTTAAGATAATATTATAATATGTGCCAGTGAATCACACGAACTGCCTACTGTCAAACTAACTAACTTAAAAACGAATTAACTGAAAACGCGCCGGCCAGAAACAATTTAGAAAATTTCCATTCCATTCCCCAAATTGGTCCTATCGGAAATCGAACCCGGAACCTTGGCATCCAGCGCCCACAATTTAAACCGTTGGCCAGCGAGGTCGTCAAAAAAATATAACAGCTTAATATGGATCAAATCAATTTTCAAATAATAAAAAAGCTTTTTCAACTAAAGTTTAGCAAATTCACAAGACCTCAAATTCATCCTCAAACCGTTCGGCACACAGATTTGTATTTAGTAAGAAATTAAAATAAATATAGGAAAAAAGCAACAGTCTACTAATTTTTATTTTCAATTTAGACTTAAGACAAAAAGTAGAACAATAACAATAAAGCACACACTCATAGTGAGACCCTATATCGCGGCTGCCATGGACACACCACCACAAATTACACCCAAACTCACGAGAGCACTAAATGTGGACTATACAAATATTTTTCTCGGCCCGGGAGTCGAACCCGGGACCTTTGCATGGCAGCCCTGACTAGTTAGATTTTTAAAAACACTGCATTATTTTGGAGATTTCATTAGTGTTCTCTTCAATTTGCTTGTATATGTACATTTCCGTTCCAATTTCGAATTCTACTGCTATTTTGCCTAATTAGCTTGTCAAGGAAATACCTTCACAAATCATATGCTTTCACGCCTTCTTAATAGAGTTTATTTTAATCAAAATCGGAACTGAACGAAAGTAAATCATAAGTATAAAATCCTGTGATAAATAGTAATGATAAATTTGTTTGCAGTAAATGTTGTATTCAAAGATTATATGTTATTATTATTATTGATACACACATTTTGCACGTATTTCACAATAAAACTAAAACACAATTGATTTATTAAAAACTTTGGAGTTTTGGAAATAAGTTGCCAGGTTTTCACGATTGTTACACATTGGAAAAAAATATCGTTTTAAAATTTAAATTGCGTTTATTTATTTTTCCTATAAACCGAAGTTTCGTGCCCTTTATTTATGGTACTTTATGGTCTCATGGTCTCAACAGAATATACGTGAACAAACAAAATACACGGGATTAAGATACGAAAAAAATTGTTTTATTTCCATTTTTTTTTCTTTCGTCTTTTTTATGACAAATTATGGCGAGCTGCATATTTTTTGAGGTCAAATTTGTTAAAAGGGTCGTTCAAGTCAGCGTTCTGTACCTAATTTCGGTGGTTATTTTATTACTTAATATTCGAATGTAGGAAATATTCCGAAATATTATTTTCGTACTACACGATAATATATTTATTGAAATATATAAATAATAAAAATGGCCACGAAAATTAGGTAGATAACACTAAAATGACCCAAAAGCAAGACAACAACGCTGATAAGCTCCTTTCGACCACTATATACATAGGAATAAAGTATCCAATAACCCACGCCAACCTACCAAAATATCAGCGCACAAAATTCCAATAACACGGAGCACAAATCCCACGGCTTCAGATTTGGGCCTGACATATCTTATCGAGCTTCAGCTGCTATCGCTAGCGAAATTACGTTTGTTTTATGACTTTGATTTGCCGTCGGCACTTACAAAGGTGTGCGATACCGTATCTATCGAATGTTTAAACGTTCACTATGTTATGTTATGATACATGTAATTTTTGTGTCTGAACACGAATTTCGATATCGTTGATAAGGCGTGTATGGTATACAGAGTTATGTCTATTAATTTGTCTTGTGGTGGAAGATACATTTAGGTTCTTTAACAAATTCTTATTCTTCTTATCGTATCGTTGGCATACGCTACTACAACGCTTACCATCGTATGAAAGGATTTGCCAACTGGCGTAAGGTTCTCTTCTTCACTTCAAACTTAAAAGCGTTCTTAAACAAAAGGTGTTATAACTAAAAGGAATTTACAAAATATACCGAAGATTAGCGAGAGCTAGTTTTTCACGTAGTTCGTCCTGTCACTTGGTATTATAAAAAATAATGAAAACCGTTGAGTAACCCAATGCGGCAAATATGGTAATATAACTATAGTAATATAACTTAGGTAACGTTAGTCATATACCAGATAACTCGAGTATTAAAAAGTTGAATAAAAGATAAAATATTGAAAACTTTTCAAATCATTTTTGCAAGTGAAATTCGGCCATGTCTAATTTGAACCTAGATAGAACATTAGACTACAAAAGATCATTGACCGTCGAAATCAACTTGTGTGGAAAGATCACGTTCAAGGCGAAATATCTTTACCAGTTTAAATGGGGATGGTTTACATGGGTATTATACAAAAAAAAAATCTTTACACAATCTTTTGCTGTCCCTACTCTACCCTCCCAAGTTATAAATCCGATTTTGGACATGTGTACCGGCGTAAGTAAACACGGGAAAGATAACGTTTTGTAGCTCAACTTTTTGAAATGTGCTATTTTGACAGCATTTGTAAGATTTGTTAATTTCTTTTATGACGTAAAAACTGGGAAGGTAAATTATATATCCCAAATAATACTAGAGGTGATAGTGCGTCATCACCACAGCATAAGAAACAAGCTCTTTAAAATGATGTAACATGGAAAACAAATTCTGGTTCCGGGAACGAAACTGTTTATCTTACATACTTAGTATTTAACTTTAGTTCGCAAATTTAGCTAACTGTAAATTGTAATCATCATATTTAGTTCCTAAAATTTTTAAATTATAAACCGACTTCACATTTTAAATTGGAGAAAACATGGCTTTCGATACAGAAAGATTCATCGTGGAGATAGAAAACCATAATATAGTATAGTTTGAAAAATTACCACTCCGGCTTCGATCTAATATGAAAGGATGTACCCATAATTTCTTTTTTTTTTTTGTTCTTTCTAATATTTTTGCGGCGTACATAATCAATAAGAGCGATTTCTTTCACGTCCATTGCTAACCAGGCACTCGACATACGTGTCTTGGCTACTCTGTTTGGCGACTGTCGGTTGCAAGAGGTACGAGCCAAGTATTCGCTGCTGGTGACGTCGCCATGGCGTCCCGGTGAGGCAGGACACTTAGTTTTCAAATTTGGTGAAATATAAATTGTAACTCTCACGTTTTTTTTTCCTCAATTTAATAAACTATTTTTAGCTTTGTGGAGACACCATACTTACTAGTTACTACATACGACATACTTGTCGACTTATAGAAATATAACAGAATGAAAAATAGGAGTAAGCTAGATAGACACCTTATCAGTTCCACGATATATCAAATAATTTAGTCTAGGATACTTAACAAGTTTATCTGATTTTAGTGATTTTAATATAAAAAAATTAATATAAATAATACTCACATAATATCATAGTATAACAAACAGTAAATTTTGAGGACACTTTTCGTTCCCTGAAATGACTACAGATTTATAGCCAGTGACAGCAAATGCGGTGGTTACATCAGCAGAGGAAATGATGGCCGATAGAGGAACGTAGTTAGAAATATCAAGAAATGTAGTTCTAAAAATGGATGAAATCGATTGACAAAAACCTAGCAGCAGCAAGCACTTCACAATTTAAGATTTTTTTGCTAGCAGCAGAGCTCCTTGTGAAAGGTTCGTCCAGGTAAATACTGCTACCTTACCTATTGCTGCCTCCAACCTGTAATACTAACATTACTGTGTTCTGGTTTTGAATGGTAAAGGTGCTAGTGAAATTACAAGCACATAGGACTTGTCAACTTGCGTCTTAGAGTGACAGGCGCAGTGGAAGTGCCCCTCAAATCTTTGAGATTTAAAGCTCTGAGTGGCACTTCGTCCCGTCACTTGATTATAAAAAAAGGTAATAAATACATCAAGTACTGTTACCGTACCTATTTCTTATATTGTAATGTGAGCAGTAAGTACTCTGAATTAAAAATGTTGGTAAAACATGCAGGCACAAGGAACTTTTCAACAGTATGTCTCAGGGAGAGCACACAGTGGCAGTGCATCTCTGATCTTTGCGATATAAAATGCTTAGTAACACTGCAACTGTTATAGACAGACGTGTCGCTTACTTAGCACACTATCTTCATCCGGTCACTTGATATCATAAAGAAATAGTAATTTACAATTTTTATTCTTATTAATTTCATCTAGTAAGTTGATTATAGAATCAATTTCAGATTGTCCAATCAGCTACCCATATTTTGAAAAACACGTTTGGATTAACTTATCTGGATATAATTAAATCCCAGAACATTCAACAGGATGATTAACAATTTCTTGTTTTACATCATAAACGATCTCATTCACAAATCTTGGTTTTGAAGTATGGACTATGATATTTTTTTAAAGTACAACTTTCCAAAAATATTGTTTTTGAAATCATTTCAAGCGTACACGAACTACTGCCATTTCACTTGCTCGTATTTGAAAGTTATTTACCACTTGCATTTTTCTCTCTTGTTACGATTTAATTTCGGAGAAAATTTGCCGAAGCTATTGCAATAATGTAAGATATAAAAATGGCCATAATAAGTCTCCGCTAATACTGATCTCCAGGAAGTCTTACGAAAAAACACTGTAGAACTTAATGACGAAGATTGAAACATAAAAACC